GTCTGCCTTTTTTAAAGTGAAAATGTGGAAATATATACTGTGTTATGTACTTTGAACACCTTCGTGAAGAGGTATGCTATGAATCTTTATGACAGAGAGACAAAGAGGGAGAGAGAGAGAGAGAGAGACAGAAAGGCAGATAGAATGAGTGTGATGGGGAAGGGGAAGGGGAAGGGAGAGGAAAAACGTGAAAGACAAACAAAACAAAAAAGTAAGAAAAAAAGGGGGAATCATCATAGAGGAGACGAAACAAAATTTCAGAACTTGAAATTTTTAGCCAAAATTTGTAAGAATCAGAAAAACAAAGTCAAATTAAGAAGTGAAAAAGATATTTCTTTTATTTAATAGTTGTTTGCCACATATAATCTTTCTTTTCATCCATAAAATATACACTCAAATATTTGCACTGGGCATGTACTCATTCATAAAAATGTGATTTATACAGTAATGGCACTATGGTTAACTGTACGTGATGACATACACTTATTATACAACTGATATAATTTGACCAAGTTCATGAGAATCTTGGTCGATTTGTGTAAAAGCTGTTTCAGGTAAACATGTCATCTGTTTCGAGCCAGAAGGTCATTAATTCTGCGTTAAACTATATGAGTTAATGCCCTTCTGGCTCCAAACAGATAACACTAGTATTGTATCATTAGTATATTGCAATGCACCTCAAACATGACTGAAAATTTAAAACACAGAGCTATGTAAATCAAGAGAATATTTGATTGCTTACTATCATGATCCCATATAGTTTTTTTTTAAAGAACAAAACAACAATGACTTGGAAGATAACCACATAATTTCCTCTAGTTTTCACTCATTTCTGAATTCTTGGAGAAATCTAGTTTCTTGAATTTTTTAACTTTATAATTATGATAGAATTATAAAAGATATGTAATGTTCTTGATGATCAATTTTAACATAAGCCTTGTTGTAAAATAATGTACATGGTCAAGTTGCACTTAAGAAACAAGTCTGCCCCATTTCTCCAATATGACAATTTTTATTTTAAAATTTGATCATTATATTTTGTCATCAGTTCAACATCTGATCATAAAAGGCAATACTAAGGTTTTAAATGTTACTATATATCATTTTGAGAGAATTACCACAATAAAAGCATTTTTCCATTAAAAAAACATGTTTCAACAAAAAAAAAATATTTAAAGCAACCCTGTATATTACTGTATATTAGCTCACATGACACATAATTTTTCCGCATTATTACGAACCGACGAATCCGTACATTAATATCTATATGACGGATTCGTCGGTTCAAAATAACGCTGATGAATCGTACATTGCTCACATAATATGGGTTTACAACTAAAAATAGTTCCATAATAGATCCATAACTGGGTGGTTAAGATAAGCTTATGGTTGATGAGGGTCTTTATTGCACTGTTTATTTGCTGTACATTATCAAACATCATACCAGCCTGTTCCCACTTCCAAGCCAGAAGGACGTTAACTCTATGTTACAGTATATGAGTTAATGCCCTTCTTGGTCCAAAGTCCAAACCGACACTTACAGCAGAAATTAGGCTATATGATTTATATAGTTGTAGGCTATAAAAACATGAAAGTAGGTTTAATTTCAGTACATGAATTATGCCATGGAAAATAAAAATGACAGGAGTTGCTAGAGATGTGGAAGGAGAAAGTCAACTGCTAGAAATAACCAGTTCCGACTATTCTTATCAGATCACATCTCTGAAACATCTTACATGGCACTTGTGAGGCTGAGGGATTGCAAGATTGAAACTATTTCATGTGATAGCCTCTTTGAAAGATCATGCGCTATCCTTGACTAGCTAGAGCCCATAAAAATACAGAAACAATATCATTTCTGCCAACTTTTTCACCCTTTCCCTTGATACAATTCTCTATACTCAATATGACCTTGACGTCTACCTTGCAATGTTATTTCTGTCATCAATTCATTCTTCACAAACACTTGCATTGTTTGTTTTGTAAAGCTAATTCCGACGAATGTCGTCATAGATACATCAAAAGCAATTAATCCTTGATAAAAATGTGATTTTTTTTGTGTGTGTGGGTTGCCATGGTATACATTCACAGCAATCTTCTCTTTTTATAAGATCGGATGGTAATTGAAGGTTACAAAACATGTTCTCAAAGTAATTTACTTTGTGAATGGTTATTCTTGAATTTGTCTGAATGACGTATATCTGTCTGTGACCTTTATCTGTGGAATACTACCAGTTAAAAAAGGAAGCTACTGTTGAGGTACATGCTGAGAAAAACCTTCTATGCATATATTTATACAATAACATGCTTTTGTGACCACTTGAATTGTATAGAAACCTGTACAGGTTTCATATTAATATATGAAAGACCTGTCTCTGTCAAACTATATAGGATTAAAGAAACATTGAATTACTCCAGGGAATAACATTAAAATTTACCAGTATTTGTATTCAAAGGTATCACTACAGGGAGGATATGAGCATATGACCACCCCCCCCCCCCCCCATGTATTTATTCTTTCTGGAGGCAAATATGGCATTTATACAGAACTTTGGCAGAACACACAAAAAGATGACCTTCTTGTAGAATAGTTTCCTGATAATTTTATCTTTTGTCGAGTAATTTTAACTTGAAATGGCCCTTATTAGTGTTGATGGCCTTGATTGTATGCATGTACATTGTATATTATGAGCGTTATCTTTCTCTCCAAGTACTATGTAATTTTCCAATCTCATTATTAAACCTGATGAAGAAAATCGTCTGTAAATTTCATTTTCTATCTATCAAACTCTGTAAATGTTGAACTACTCCATTACACATCATTCAACATTTATACAAATTATGTATTTCAAAGAAAAAAAGAAGAACTTAGTCTTCTTTTACTTTGACCTATTGATTGACATGATGTAGAAAAATCATGTAACCTTTTCATGTAGAGCTGATTTCCTCTCGATTATGAGGATCAAACTTGGAAATCGTTCCCTGAAGTCATGTCACGAAAGATATTCATGGAGAGAAGATAATTTGTCCTTTCCTTAATTTAATTGGAACTTACTGGAAAATAGTGGCAGAGCCTATTATAATATGACTGAAATTGCCCAGCTGTCTATGTTTTTTTCTTATTTTTTTAACCTTTTAAATGCTTCCATGTTGCTGATAATGATGGAGAATTCTTATTGTAAGAGTACTAAGCAAATATGATATAAGAGGGAAAAAATGATTCTGAACCATATAAATTGTTTTGTATTCCATATCTGTAAATTAGAATTAATACAGTCTGTGTTATTTTGATAGTTGATTGCAAAACATGCCTTAAACAAACAAACATTGTAAAGTATCGTCCATGGCATTGAATGTCTAAACATATAATGACTCAGCATTTCCTGTCTTTTTGTGCAACTTCCCCAATCACTAATTTTCAAAGTGTAATTTTAAGGTTTTGTTACTTCTGATTACCTGGCACAATCAAACCAGGAAACACGCTCAACAGTCTTTGGTTACAGATGTTTCCTCCTTCAAGCTTGTTAGAGCCTGCAAAGAAATTCAATACTATTTCTTATACTATTGTGTGTTTGGAGCCAGAAGGGCATTAACTGATATATATACCTTATCACAGAGCTATTTAGTCCTTCTAGCTGTGAACAGATTTTATCTGCTTTTGTGGATGCATAATTCTGAGGTTGAGGTGCAGTGTGGTTTTGTGGGAGTTGAATAATAAATGAAGAAAGGTTTTAACTCATCTCGATAATGTTATATGTTTGGCTAATTAAGTCACATAATTCTAGTATTTGAACAACAGGAAAATTCTGGTTCTGTTATTTTACACAATTCTAGGGGCTTGTGAAAAAGCAATGGTTTTGGCAATTTTTCAGTAGCAATAAAAAAGCCATGTCAACCTCAATGACTTTTTTCCCCCACCAGAGAACGTTAATATTATAGGTATGCTCCATTGCTTTATAACTCTATTATGAGAACAAATGATCATACAATTGAGTTTTTGCCAGTTTGAACACAGAGCTAGACACTGGTAGCTCTAGTAACAACCATTTTTTTAATTGTTTACATCAATGTATCCACCATTATTAACCATAAGAGACAGCCATCAGTTTATTTAATTTATTTTGGTCATTATCACGAGGCCAAAATGTTTATTCATCATGTGTCACAAATATTATAATCAGGATTCAAATTTCAGTTGCATGTTTGAATTATCCACCTATTGTGAGTGCATTCAGTAGCCCCTAGAGACAGCCATCATCAGCCATAATTTCATCGGTTTCCTATTTCCAGCAGGTCTTGCTTCAAGATGGTGACATCATCTAATTTCTATTCTGGTCCTAAACCACATTCTTTTTTGGTTAATATCCTACTAAAGGAGTGGGGCAACCTGTAAGTTGAAGGGGAAATGCGCTCACCTCAAAGAACTTTCAGTCAACCCTTGTTAGCAAATCTATATAACATTGTTCAAGAGTTTGTAGTGCATGTGTGCATTCAACTTAATGTGTCATTTTATGACTTGCATTAGACTACAAGGTTCAGAAAATGTTTATTTTGATAAATTAAAGAAATAGTTATGTGAGTTTATTGATGATCTTTGTCTAATCCCGGAACTTGATTGAGAAGTGCAGCAAAGAAAATCAAGATGAGCTGATATTTATTCCACAACAATTTTCTAGCCATTGAATGAATAACTCAGTGGGATAATTGTTTGCAAAGATTTTATGATCGGGTATAAATATTGATAAAAGTGCATGAGGTGCAATTAAACATTTGTGACATATCATTTATCTTTGTTCTTCCAAAACATAGATTTTTTTACGCAGCATTATATTTTATTTCAACTATCAGTTTAACAAGAGTACGTATCTCAAAGTTATTCATGTATGACATATACATTTTCATCTTCATAGTTCCTTCCAAGAATGTTCAAAGTAGTTCTGATTGATTCAGAAGACTTTAATTTGTCAGAGTGATCAAGACATATAGTTTAAGGTCTTACCACCCTTTCTAGGAAAGCTTTTGTCCATTCCTGTGGACTTTCTCACACCAAGCAGTTATACGATGAGATAAATAATTAATGAGAGTCAGTTTCTCCACAAATGTTTATCAGTCACGTCACATCGCAGTATTCAGCATGACGATGTGTGCATGCCTGACAGACTCGTCTCTGTATTTGACTGCCTTGATCTTGCCTCATTGTCATTATCAGTTAATGTGGAACTACTCAAGAACCTCCTCAGGAATCGAGAAGGTTCTGGTATGCGGGTAAATTCGCAGCGCACCATGCATCCAAAGACGATCTTGAAGTTTGGATGCTTCAGAGCATAGATGATGGGGTTCAGACAGCTGTCGAGGACCAAGACCAGGGCCAGGTAGGATGACACGTGCGAGATAAGACCGGGACTCGACACGAAAGTCGTTGCAAAGAGGAGGACGGTGTAGGGCAAGACGCACATGAAGAATCCGCAGATGACATACAAGAGGTTCTTTGTGATGGTGATGTCAAGTCGCGTCGGCTTGTGCACCTTCTTTTGTCCAGGTTCCTTTTTTTGTCCAGGTTCCTTTTTAGCAGGTGGAACCTTCTCCGTCTTCTCCTGAGATTTTTTTGGTGTTGGTCCTGACGGAGACGACTTTGCTTTGTTTGCCGTTGCCAAAGTGTTCCGAACGTGCTCCCTCACATGTCTGTAAATGAACGTGTAGCTCATGACAATCAACATGAAAGACACCATTGAGAGAATACCAGCGAGAATCTGGTAGACATAGGCGATCGGGTGCATAAAGTCCCAAGCGCAGAGTCGTGAGTTGACATCGAAACCCAGTTTCCCCTGACCCGCAGCTTGAGGTACGACTAACGTCACTATTGGGTACATCCACGAGAGAATGACCATCAGGGCCATCTTGGACGGTGTGTATATTCGCCTGTAATCCTTCCTTGATCTAGTGATTAAGATATAGCGGTTGATTGCGATTAAGGCCAGGGTCAACACGCTGCAGCTAACTGCGGTCACTACAATTGACCCCACGATAGCGCAAATGGCAGGATGCAGCGGCCAACCGTTTGGGCCAAGCAACCCGACAGCCTGGAAAGGCTGGACAATGGAGACTAATAAATCTGTCACACTGAGGCTGATGATGAAGACGTTTGTAGCGGTCTGCAGCTTCCTGGACAGGAGCACGGCGGCCATCACAAAGAGATTTCCCACGATACCCACCACACCGATGATGCAGTAGAGAGTAGCCAAGAAAGCCCGCTCTGCGTAGTTGTTGATGCCGTACGAATGGCTGCCATCATCCCAGGGAGGTCGGCTTGTCAGTAATGAATCGGTGGCCATTTTGAGTTCAAATCTATCCTTGTCTCTGGTCCATATGAAATCCAAATGATTCCTGGAAGGGCAGGAAAAAAACGGGGGAAAATAGTTTTTATTTATTTGTTATTAGCTGCATGAACCAAGAATTCAAAGTCGTGAAACTTGTGACACAAGTGCAAAAAGAAATGATGAAGAACGTCATTGCAAAAATACACCTTAATGTGTATGTACTGTACTGTCGCAATTTTCTATCTGTAACTTTCATAAAGTTTCTCAAACTGTAAGTATTGACACTTTCAAATGTTTGGCAAGGCCAAGTTATACACCAGGTAATCAGAGATAAGATTTGGAAACCAGGGGCCTTGTATGTCTGGAAGCCAGAATGCACGACGATAAAAACACATTCCTAATTTGCTATATTGAAAGTGATGAAACTTCCGTTTGGATTCAGCCTCTGTGTGAGCAGGCAGGACGAAAATGAGCTCATTTTTCCCTCCCTCCCTTATTTTTATGTTACATGCTCCAACTTTTCCCTCACATCCCTTTACCCCCTCAGCCCCTCTCTCACCACCCCCCCCCCCCCCCCCCCCCTCTTTGACATTCTCTGTCACTACTTCTCTCCTTCACCCCTTATTCCCTATTTCCTTATTTCCTTCACACAACAGTAAAATGGGTTAATAGGATCCAAAATTATTAGAAAATTATTTTCCATATATTTTCCCAAAGGAATAGTGCAGACCATTGTTATTCATAATGGGTCAGAAATGAAAAAGACCTTCATCATTATTATTCATTTTTGTGGCCCTTTTCATCTACTCTATTCCCCCTTCCCCTCCCTTTCTCCATTCTCCTTCTGTTCCCCCTCTGTTCTCCCTTCTCCTCTCTTTCCTTTACACCCTCTTTCCCCCTCTCCGTCCTTTCCCCTTTCCTTATCTTTCCCCCTCTTTCCTTCTTCCCCTCTGTTTCTCCCTTCCCTTCTTTTTCACCAACTCTTTCCCCTTCTCTCTTTCCCCTTCTCTCTTCCCCTTCTCTCTTTCCCCTTCCCAGTTTCCATCCCCAGTTCCTGTTTGCCGCCCCCCTCCTCATTTCTTCCCCTTCCCATCTCTCTATCCCCTTGCTCCCCCCCCCCCATTGCCCCCTTCTCTTCCCCTCCCACCCTCCCTCTTTCTTCTCTATCCTACTCTCTTCCCCTTTTCCCCCTTATATTTGTTGAAAGCGCTGAATAAATAATACAATACAATAATCCTCTCCCTCCATCCCCACCCTCTTATCTCTGATATCTCTCATACTTTTTGCTATCTATTCCTTTTTCCTCTTCTGCTTCTGAGCACCCCTCCTTCATTTTCTGTCCATTTTTCATTCTCTCTCTCTCTCTCTCTCTTAATACAGGTGATTGGGTAATTGAATTAAGGATATTTCGAAGCAAGGGAGTTAACAGATACAGGTAGACATTGTCTGTGCCGTTTACATCCCAAAGGGGGAAAGACACTGAGTGCTCTTTCCTTCCAATCTATTCCCATTAAAGATTGCTTAATGACAGATAGATCACTAATAAACAACAACAAAAATTATTAAAAAACGATCTACTGAAAAGTAATCAGTTAAGAAAATGTATTAAAAATGTTTGAATGCACAAAAAAGAAATGCGATTGCAATGACTTTCAAGAAATTAGATTGAGAGCAATTTCAATATCCTACTGTCTTGCAGATATATGGAAGTTTGAAAAGGTGACTGATGGACAAGCCTTTCGAATCTGCCTTGAGTTGATTTGTTATAACTTCTTTGTGATTGTGATTAGATATACCATTTAGGAAAGTTTTGTGATCATTCATGTAACAGTGCACTATTTGATAAATTATAAAATATATTATAGAATTTAATTTTTTTTTTTTTAAATTGCAATGGTTGAAAATGAGTCCATGTTACCATTGGTAAATTACATCAGGAAAAGTACTGACGATAATTAGTAAATAATAATAGTAGCATGGGGAAACGACATAATTTGGAGTACCGTAGTATTTCTAAATCATTATCATATGATATTAAATATTAAATAACAAGAAGTATAAAGTTGGCAATTTATACAGAAGTACTTTAAGATCATAGTTATAACCTACAAGCAATAACTTGTGTGTATATATATATGATTCTCCCCCATAAAAACAAAAATCAATGTTTAAAATAGGAACTGAAACTGAAAGGTAAAATGATTGATAATAGAAATAATTAGATGATAATAAACAATGATTCACCAAGGAGGTTACTGTGGTAGCATGCGTGCTTGAATGAGATGAACTTTAAATTAAGAGATGACATTGAGAGTTGCGGTTGTTCCCCTTAATTAATCCGGGGAACTTGAAGGCAAAGGATGTCATTACGAGGTCATAATTCTAATTGTTATCGTTACTCTCTTATGAATGGGAAGTTTTGGGTAAAAAGGTTAAAGTCACTACAGCAAATTTTGTCATTCTTTGACAAAGGAGAAAATTTAAACAGTACAATTATTGTCTACCAAAAGCTGAAGAGTGTTCATACATGGCATTTCACACAGAGTTGACACCTATATGTTCACCCATTAACTACTGAATTATCTAATTCCCATAGAGTTAATACAGAGTTCACCTGGTTCTCGTAGGCATTGGCTTTAACATGAATCAAAGTGAATTCAAACAATATTAATCTATGCATCAAAGTAGAAAACAATATGTGATATGTGATTTTTTTTTTAAACTCTTTCAATACCAAACAAATACTTTTCTCCCCAAGAATAGTGCTAAGAGTATGTACAAAAATTGTCATTGGATTTGGAATGATTGATTAGGATTAAAACTGTAAACTTTTTTTAAAAAAATTGTAAAGAAAGAAAAGAGGTGTGAGCTGACTATACAGAAATTGTTTAAATCAAAAAGGTGTCATAAGTCTGTAAATATCTGAAGATAATTTAATTAGAGTTAAACTGATTTTATTTTTGGCTAGATAGCAAGGAGACAAATTCAACTATTCCTAAAGTCGGTCATGTTTATCCTGTTTTCATGGAGATTTTAGCAGAGTGCAAAACATGACTTTTCTATCAGAAATAGAAGCTCTGTGCAAAGTGACCTCGATAGTGAATACATTTGCAGAGTGCAATTGCAAATATTTACTAAACAGTATTTTGGTAGAACTCAGGGCAAGATTTTTAAAGTAAAGCATTATGAAAAGAAGTAATTCATAAATATCTTTAACAGTGATATTAGATTTAGATACTTAAGGAGTTAGGAGTGGTGGCCAGTGTGCATAGATTGTATGAAGTTTTGATTAAACAGAAATCGTTGACCCAGAGAAAGAAATCAGATAGAATAATTAATGGAATAATGTATCACATGAATTAGTGTAGATGGCACTCAAAAAGTCAAGCCAACCAGTCAAGCTGTAGAAAAGCTGTAGGAGTGCAAATTGCCCTAATCCCCCCCCCCCAAAAAAAAAAATTAAATGTCACTAACCTGCTAATCCAGCTCAAAAGTTCCAAACTTTTCAAATAAAAATCCAACACATAATCTCTCAAAAACCATTCCACGCCATTGCTCCAATGCTCAAACACGATGACTCTCGAAGATTTCTCCTGATTAAAGTCCAAGAGCGTTCCTCGATACCGCGTTTTCCCCCTCCCACCGCAGAACGTCGTCTGGACTGCAAGCATCAAAGTATGCGCAGCCCCTCCAAAATATCAAAGTAGTAATAGGAAGTCACCTGCTGGAAGGGTGCACTATAAATGTAGCAACCAATTTGGCTCGGTCGAAGTTGCACTGCTGAGTTGATGACAGAACTCTGTTTGGGAGCTCGATCTGCCTGTCTCAAAAAGTTTCCTAGTCTTGCTCCCAAACCCAATAGAGTGTCACTGTTGTGATAACTCTGTTTAGATATGAGTTTGGTATCTTCCACTATTAGTGGCACTGCTGCGATGGTGCTGCGATGGTGCTGCTGGTGCAGAGCTGCCAACCATTACATTTTTTTCCTGGAATTATTCTGTTTTTCCCTCAAAGTTACAGTAGTATGTTTTGTTTTGTTGATCACTACTTCAATAGAAAACTTTATAGAGATTTATAAAGAGTACAAAGGTACAAATAGTAAACCCCAAAAAAGAAGAAAACAAAGTGGAAGGCATAAATATTCTCAAAAAGAATGAATGGCCGATAATACCCCAACAAAAGCAAGAAACAACCTGCTTGTAAATAAACTAAGGGTCCTAATATGGAAATAACAGCATGAAGAATGGACAATTCTGCATTAGAAGTGTGTCGCGAGTGGTTGTAAGTTTTGTTTTAATGAATTCCTTTTTTAATGCTTCAAATTCCTTCTTTTTTTGCCATCATGGTTCCATTTTTTGGTGGAACAAAGTTGGCAGCTCTGCTGATAAAGATGATGAAGATTATGATGATTATGACACCATTGTGTATGGGTGCTGGTCTCTTCCACTCAAAATGTTCCTAGCCTTGGTCTCAGACTCCGTTTTGTTCTGGAACAATTAATTCTGAATCTGATGTATTTTGAAATTCTGTCATTTCTGCGCATGGCATGGAGCTGAAATATAGAATTGGGACATGATATGTATCATCATACATATCGTGTTTGCTTATGAGATTTAATATTTACACAGTGATTACTTCCTCATTAAGGTGTAAAGTACTTTTATGAGAGTAAATTAGGTTAGAACAATGAGCATTTCCTTATTAGGGGTTTCATGTACTTTCTTAAAGTACTTCTGTGGAGTAAAAAATAAATGAACAGCAAGCGTTTACCAGTTATCAAAACTATTTTTTTTTCTACTGAAGGGGATAGTTTCTTTGAGATTTGCATTTATGAATATGAATATTTTATATTTCTATCATTTAACATGTGTTATTACCATCTGCTTGGAGCCAGAAAGGTGTTAACTCATTTACTATACTACAGAGTTAACTCCCTTCTTGCTCTGAACAAACAATTTTCCTTTCCTTCAAAATGGAGAGAATAGGTTCAGATTGGGCAAAATCAAGATTTAACTATATTAATGTGAGTTTCCTTGAAAAAGTTATTAATGATTATTGTGTTGAAAAGGGAAGTTAACATTTTGTATTTGATTTTGTTTGATATTTTTTTGGTAATACATACCGGTAAACAAATATTTACTCATTGTTTAACTTTCTTTTTCATTAAAACACACTGGATTTTTGTTCCTTGTTTGCTTAGTTCCTTGAACAGAAAATGTAAAAGTAGGTACGTAGGATTATACATACAAAAACATGCTTGCTTAATTAGCACCAAGGTAAAATCCTTCAAAATGATATTTTTGTGTTTGGTCCACCCTGCTTATACTTAACTGAATCCAAGAATAAGTTTTATTTCATAATTTGGATCAGTGGATTGAGGACATTCAGTGAAAACTTGGCATAGAAACAGAGTGTTGATCCTTGTCTCTGTACCAAGTTGGTGTTTCTTTCATTGTTGTATAGGCATCATTTACCATAAAATCAAGCCTTTCATCGTAAACAAAATTGAGAGAATAGGTTCAGACTGGGAAAAAAAATCAAGTTTCCTTAACAAAAATGATTGATGATTATTTTGTTGAAAGGGGATTTTTTTTTTCTGCTTCTTTTTTGTGTAATACAAAACAAAATCTGCAATTTTTTACTAGCATTTTTAGTTTCTTTTTCCATTAAACCACCCTTGATTGATATGTCTTGATTGCTTAGTTCCTTGAACAGAACTGTAAAGGATCATACTTACAAAAATAGGCTTGCTTTATTAGCACCTGGGTAAAACGATCCTTAGATATTCAGTTTCCATGTTGTTGCCAGATCATGAGAATCTCCATAAGTATTATTGTTTTGTGAAAGGGGGAATTCCCTCACAATTCAAGCAAAACTTTTAGTACTTGTAGTGAAGCTGCACAATGTATTTTAAGATAATGTGTTTGACAAAGCATGGTGAATTGTTATCATGTAATGATTCTTTTGTTGTGTGTGGTAGAGTTGTACATCGAGTCATGGACCTGAAAAAAACAGAAGCATTTCATGAACCATTTGGACTATATCAGGTCACCTGATATATAGTTTATAAAATGCCTCGTTTACTTTCCTTATTATTCAGCAGACACACATTTTATCTCATAATATGTTTATAGTGATAGTTGCGGTTAATTATGTAAGAATTTAGTTAGATCTTAACCAGAAGACATATTTATGATATTGGCAATTTATGCAAAATTTATGTTATAAATACAATATGTATTCAAGAACTACAGACTGTGTCTACCCATGTTTTGCTTCCAACTCAACTTTATATTTATCATTATCTTCTAAATGTACAGCATACATATAAAAGAGAGAAAGAGAGAGGGGGGGTGGGCGGGGTGGGCGGGGTGTGAGAGAAAGATGGAAAAAGATGGAGATAGTACAGAAAGCTAGAGACAGAGGGGGGGGGGGGGACACAAGGTAGTGGTTTATTGTTTTACTACGGTAATGAATAGATCCTGTGGTCAAGCTAAACGGATGTCATAACAAAAGGGAAAACTCTTGGTTTCATATTGTACAGTTGTCAAGATGGGACATAACATTAATTAATTATCTCCCTGCATAATGTGAGCTCTTTAATTTTACATTTTGTTCTGGTAATTAGGTTGTATAGTGGGAGCAATTCTAAAGGTTCATCCCAACTTTCTGGAAAATGGATTGCAAATCCATAATTTATAGGGCAGAGAAGTGATGACATTTCCAAAATGATGCAGACCTACTTAACTATTGATTGTAAATCAATAACTAATTTGGCAGAGAAGTGATAGCAATTCCAAAATGATATAGACCTACTTAACTATTGATTAACTAATAGGGCAGAGCTAGGAGTGATAACATTTCTAAGATGTTGTAGACCTACTTCACTATTCATATTTCTGGATTCAACATTTTGAAGGTTGCATGCATCAGTTGGATCAATCAATTTAAATAGATTTTGGATCACACCTTTACCCTTTAAAAAATTAGCATTTCACATTTCAAAGTTGATGTCAGAGACGAGTCTGTCTTAAAACTGCAATATGAATAACAAATTCTAAAGCCGAGTTGATGTTGTGTGCAATCTGAGAAGAAGAAAAAAAATGGATGTGGCAAAGGGAAGTTGATGATTTGGGAGAAATTTGGTCTTTACCAGTATTTTCAAACTACATGTACCTTCAAAATGCAGCAAAAAGCGTACTTCCCCTATGAGCGTAAAGATGTTGTTTTGTTTTTTAAGTGGGCAAAACACAGAAGGTGCAAGTGATAAGAGCACACTGAGGTCAGGAAGCTCATTAAAATGGGCCATAATTAGTTATCAGTCTGAAAGTTGCAATAAATTTTTCATGAATTTTCATATTATTGTCTCAAATTTGATATGAAATTCCTCCTATCTCTTTCCTCCTGCAGTATATGTACCTCTGTCCACCTGCCTTCCAATCTCTCCTCTCTTCCTTTCCTCCTCTCCCTCTTTCCCTGTCTTCCTCCCTCTTTGTCACTCTCCACTCCTTAGTACATGTATGTCTTTCTCTTTAATCCTTCCCCCCCTCTCTCTCTCTCTCTCTTTCCTTTTCTTCTCCCTCATTCCACTCTCCCTCCCTCCCTATCTCCCTCCCACCCTCCCTCCCTGCATCAATAACCACTTTTAAAATGTCATCACTTTCTTATTTTGATCATATTTTCCTCAAATTTTCACTGATGTTTTACTCTCATTTCTTTCAGATTTTATTTGATCCAACTTAATATCAGGATGGATTTTTTTTCTTTTTTTCCTTCATACAATGATTTGAACTTACAAGAGGGGAGGGTGTAAAATATAGAGTAGTTCAATGTTATTCTCCATGCAATAAAGCTAATGAATGATGGGAAGAAAAAAAACTGGCAGCAGAGAAAATTCTTGAACGAGACTAGGGAGGCAAATCTGGAAGGTTTGGTGGCGGCCCTCTCCCTTTTCCTGTGAAAGTTTTGGCAACTTTTTCTGTCTGGGGCATGTGCCAAGTTTATTCCCAATGCCCCCAATGAATCAGAATGCTGCAAGCTTGATGAGTTTGATATTTTTATATTCTAGTATGATGTTTGACCCTCCACTCGTCCTTTATCTTTCCACATCTATTGTCTTTTTCTTCTGAGAAAGAGGAAAGTGATTGAACAGAACTCTGAATTATGAATATGACGTTTATTGTCATTTGGCAAGTTCAAGGTATATTTCCATCTGTTTATTTTGTGGTCAGGTCCTATAGAGCTACACGTGTATTGACATGCAATAACAGATAGGCTACAGATTGACGATCAGAATGTGTTGTATAAGCTAGAGAAAGGAAAGGGGGAGAGGGAGAGAGAAAGAGTGGGGTAGAAGGGGGAAGAAGGGGTGAGAGGGAGGGAGAGAGAGAGAGAGAGAGAGAGTGTGTGTTGTGTATGAGAGAGATAGAGAAAGGGGAAGGGGGTAAGGTGAGAGGGAGGCAAGGAGAGAGAGAGAGAGATGTGGAGGGAGGGGAGAAAGAGAGAGAGAGAGAGTAAACAAAAAGAGAGAGAGGGGGGAGGGGTAAAGGGCGAGAGAGGGGATGATTAAGATGGAGAGGGAGATCCAGAGAGATAGACTTTTTGTTGACTTTTGACAAAGGATGACAAAATTCATCATACAAAATTATTATGATTGCCGATGGGAGCTCTTATTCAGATTCTGTATAAGGTAAGATTTGATATCTGTGGGTTCAATTTTGTTCTTCTTCTTCCTTTTACTTCATAGTAGTTACCCTCCACAGGAAAATGATGCATATAAAGAACAAAAGAAGTGAAACTTCTGATCATAAATCATATATTCTTTGCCCGAGGCACGTAAACTTTATGGATTATGAGGTGTTGACATTTCCTATTAAGAAAAGAGAACAGCTAAATCTGCTATGATTGAAGTCATGCTAGGTAAAAATAAAAATAAA